ATACCCCAAACCATCCCGCGTGACAGTTCCCAACCATACTTCGCGCGGACGGGACCGCGTACTGCCAATGGGGGGGCAAGCCTAACCCACGCACTATTCTCAGCACGTCCTGATACCCGTAAATGGACGCGTGATCAGGCCCCCTAAGAAGGTTGTCACTGGGCGCGGGCTGATCACCCCACATCTCTGCCCAGTCAATCACGGTATACGCCGCGCCCACACCTCGGAAGCCCAAGCGGCTCATCGCTTCCGTAGTACGCGCGGTACATTGCGGTTCTGACTGAGTGTCAGATCCTTCGCGTCTCTCCGAGTCACCCATCCCAGATGCGCCGCCGCGAGGCCGCCGAACAATCAAGACACCCCGCGCACCGGCTCTAGACTGACCACTCCCGGACGCAACGATCCCCTCGTCGGGCCCCCAGTCATCATCGACGTCGAGCGACGGCGACGCCGTCGAAACCACATCACCACCGTCGGCTCCGCCGCCGTCCCCATGCCCAGAATCATCCAGATCCAGCGAGGGATCAGTAGAAACACGTGAAAAAGAAGAGGGATTACCTTCTTCGCCCTGCACGACCTCGGTCTCGTGAATGTTGGTGCTATCCATTGCGATACTCCGAATTAGCAACAGCAAGAAGAGAGTCGAGGTTGTAGAAGAAGGAGAAGAATCCCAGAGACAGCAAGAAAGCACAAGAAACAGACGGAATTTTCCCTTTACGAAAGCAGAGTGAGTACGACTTCTGGGCAGAGAGGGGGTATTTATACTCGACAATGGAAAGACGAAGGGTTAAAGTTACCTCGAGAATCGCAACCGTCAGAGCCTTTTCAAATTTCAAAACGGCCGCCACAACCGACCAACCGCACCCGGACACGTGGCAACCTACCACCCCTAGGCACTAGACGCTGACGTCATGCTTTCCGCACAGCGCCTGGGGGGCAGGGTACGCCCACAAAGGAAAAAAACACGCCCAGAAATAATACCAACCAAGAAATACCAACTAAGAAAGGCGTCGCGCACAACCAACCCAGGGAACTCGCGGAACATTACCACAGGGGGGCAACGCGAAACCAGAAGCTCACCCGCAACCAACCCAGCAGATCTCGGACACTCGCGGAACACAACCGATGGGGGGCGACGCGAAGATGTCGCGCACAACCAATCCCAGAGATCTCGGGCGAAGGAAACACCAGTTATACACGCCACCGACGATCACGCGAAGACCATAGCAAACGCCAACGTACCCGTGTCGCGTCAATCATAATCATCAGGCGGAGTCGCGCAAGTCCGAGTCACTCGGAAGAAGATCAAACAGGTGGCATTCGCGGAATACCCCCTGATGGGGGGCAATTGTTGGGGATGTGACTCGAAAATACCTAAGGATGATCGCGCCAAAGACGACCGCGCCAAAGCCGGCGCGCGAGTACGGAGAATGGCCTGGAAAGCTCGCGCGTAAGCTCCAAACGGCCCTCAACGAGAAGTGTAATAGCGGCGCCGCGTCACCCGAAGGGTAGTCACCATCAAAGTCCTAGAGTAGTCAACATCATAGTCCTAGGTATAGTCATGGCTAAGGGTCTTGTCGTCCCTAGGGATATGGTATTGGTTCATGACGTGTCAGAGGTCATGTCACCCTGCCATGGTAGTCACATCATTGTACCGTTGTGTACCTCACCCACCACCATGTAGCCTATAAATATGGCATTTACTCCGGTGGGTGAGGGGATCGGATTTTGGAGACTCTACCTCTAAGATCATCACTTTATCTCACTAAAATAAAGACTCTCAACCCTTTCTTTCCTCTCATTTGTCTCATAGTTCTTGTTCGACCAAGCCGTTCATTCTTCTTGACCCATTACAGTGAACCTCACTCCTACACTCAGTTAGGTTCAAACAACAACAATAACCCATTTTCTGGGGAAAAGCTGTGGGAGACGACGTGACAGCTAATGGAGACTACCGGACTTCTTCCTCTTCTCGTCGGAGCTCCTAAGCCAAATCAATCTCCGACGGTCGAAATCTGTTCGTTGTTGTTTTTTTATATATATTGATTGGCTTCCTTGGGTATCTTTCTCCGTAGCCGTTACTGTCGTCGTGCGGTGGTTTTGGGACCGAGCAGGAGGCGCAGTCGGGGAAGAGAGTGTGGCTGCTGTCCATTGGAATTTTCTCTACTTCTGGAATTTTCGGACTCTTTCCATTTCACGTGTCGATCCGTTGTAGGAAGCAAATATTGGATCAATTTGTTGTTGTCGTTGCCGGAGGTAGGTGCGGAGGAAAAGCTCTTCCTTTCTTCATCTGCGACCAACTTCTTTCTTTTCTTTCCTTCAATATTCTCTTTTTTTTTTTATGAAGCTTCTTCATCTTTCATTTACATAGATTTCCTCCTCTTTTAGAAACCAGATGAACAGAATGTAGAAGTCAAGCCCCACGGTGGGCGCCAATTGTTTGAACCTACTAGCTCGGGTATGAACAATGATATTTGTTGGTGTGGGTTGACTCGTCATCCGTTCGTCGGATCTCGGCGGGAGGGAGAGAACCTGTGAAAGAGCCGGGGTTGCCCCCCGGATTCAGCTCCAACGATCAAGTCAGCTTCTTTGTAAGGTGAAAGTTGAGAGAACAAGGTAGAGAGATAATGTGTAGAGAGATAATGGAAAATGGAAAGTGAGGAGGGAGAGCCCAAAAGTCCCTTTCAATGGGGAGTTTCATGCCTTTAAATACTTCGTAGTGGCGTTCGTCCCGAGCACGTTACCGATTGAGCGCGCCCTTATTTAGTCCGCGCTTGGAGTATTTAGTAACACCCCCAACAGTAACAAACCCCAAATGAGGTATATTAGCCCTATATAAGTTGTTATTAATTTTAGGTTTAATACACTTGTATATCCAAAACTTTCACGGTTGTGCCAATAATATCAAAATTTCCCGGAATACCACTTATATCCATGTTTTAAAGTTGTTCTTTGCCAAATCTATCCATTTCCCAATATATTTTTGGTTAAATACACTTGTATATCCAAAAACACCGTTAAAGAATGTGAAATAATTGGATATAAGTGGTATTTCGGAAAATTTGGATATTATTGGCACAACCATGAAAGTTTTAGATATACAAGTGTATTTAACCTTAATTTTATCCTAATTTTTGTCCACTATTCGAGTTAATGGATTAGTAACGGAATAGAAATTAAATGATAAGAGGGAAGAATATATATATTACTATCTATTCTAGGTCAACCACTATATACAAATGTCAAAGGTACGACTACGTACGGCTCAGTCATTCCTTCAATGAAAAAACAACAGTAGAGTACCTTGTTGCATCCAAAGAAATTAAGAAGGAGAAACTAGCTAGCTTAAATGCAATGCAAATTATGATCAAAGAGACCTTGCTAGCAAAATGATAAGCTTTCATAAGCAGAGCTCTCACTCATATATGCTTGACTGGATTTACCTCCCATCTAATGCTACATGAAACCAACTCATGCCCCTTCAAGAGCCGCATTCCGGGCTATTCACGGTTAAATGAGCTTTTGATTCGGTAAAATCTATATGATTCGATCCAAACAGGATTCTAAACATAACGAATTTAAAAGAATAAAATTGAATTTAGTGTTTAGAAGCTAAAAAATATTTTAGAAACCATGGATAAACGTCATAACCCATAATTAATAAAATAACAATAGTAAATTATTTCAATTTTTTAAACATTTTTGACACTTTTCAATAAAAATTTTCCTCCCACTTTTTTCTTACATCTCCCTGTAAAATAACATCTTCTCTGATCAGTTTCTCTTTCCTCAAAATTTTCTTTCACTAAAAATATTTTCTTCCCCTCCTTGTTTTCCTTCCTTTCTTTGAGAATCAGAGTTTACAAAATTGTTACGCAGCAGCATTGCCCCGTCCTGTGCAAACTCTAGCTGAATTTGACTGGAAAGTCGTTTAATTTTAAAATCTAAAAAAGAAACTAACACGTACGGGCCAGTCATGAATGCTAACCCATATGTTATTGCGGCCCATTTCAAAGTTGGAACTTTTTTTTCCAATTTCAACTGCTGATCTTACATTCTAGAAGTTGCTACCTATGAATTGAGAACCTTCTTCCAAACCCAATGACCAAGTTACTGTTCAACAGATTCAGAAACGATATACTGTTAAAAAAAAAGAAAGAAGATTCAGAAACGAACACTGTTTCATTTAATTGACTGAACAAATATATTGTGAGATTTTAATTAAATGGTATAGAGAAACAGGAGCAAGCCAATTAACTGAAACAGTAGCAAAAGTCATAGTCCAAAATAATCAAAACCAATGGGCTCTATAGCTAGCTCTCAATTCTCATGCATATACTTCTATAAATACCATCCGATTCAACCCTATTCCATAGCTCTTCATATCCATTATCCACATATATATCTCTCTCTCTTATACATTAATTCCACATCTCATCTCTCTCAATAATCCATTTGCGGCAATTGGACATAGAAATAATGAAGGGTTTGTTTCTCGGTCTATCGGTTTGCCTGTTGGTGGCGCTTCTACCAGCTGCATTGGGTCATGATCATCCTGAGCCTAAAAAAGGAAGAGTCGCTTACTACCGCATGTCCAACGGCTTAGGAACGCCAACCGGAGCTTGTGGCTAAAAGGCATCTGCAACAATGAAGGAGTGAAAATAGTGGTGACGGATCGCGGAGACGGAGACTAAGAAGTTTAGAGACTGCTAGGGTTAGCAGCAGAGAAAGAAGAGAAGAGAAAGCTCTCTCTAGGAGGCGATGAATGGAGCTAGAATCGCAGGGAAAAATGATCCACCCTGCTGCTTTTTATATTCAGTAAACAACTACAGTAAAAACGTTTAAAACTGTAATTCAAAATAAGACAAACAACAGCCTACACGTGGCTTTGTTCCATAAGCAGTAAATAGAAGCCAAACGGCTAATAATTCAAACGACAACGTATTGCTCTTCTTCTTCTTCCTTTGTTCTTCATTCGACTCTGCATATCAGATCAGCTTTCAAGACACCTTCTCTTCTTCTGCATTCTGGGAATTGGACAAGCTCTTTGACACTCCCCCACAAGTTGGCGAGTGTAAATCAGTAACTCCCAACTTGCGAAGTAAATAGTCCAACCTGTAACGAGTTACTCCCTTGGTAAACAAATCAGCTAACTGATCATCAGTCCTAACATGACTCAGCTTGATCAACCCTGACTTTAGACGTTCCCTGGTAATGTGGCAATCAATTTCAATATGTTTTGTCCTCTCATGGAAGACAGGGTTTTCAGCTATGTGAATAGCTGACTTGTTATCACAAAACACTTCAATTGGAAGAGGAATTTTGACCCCCATTTCAGCTAGCAAGCTTCTAATCCATTGCAATTCACAGACCAACTGAGCTAATGCTCTATATTCTGCTTCAGAAGAACTTCTGGAAACTGTCGTTTGTTTCTTTGATTTCCATGTCAGCAAGCAATCACCAAGAACAGTACAATATCCAGTCACTGACCTCCTTGTGTCGGGACAGCTGGCCCAATCCGAGTCTGAGTAGCCTTGAATCTCTAAGTTGGTGTCTGCCTTAAACAATAAACCTTGGCCAGGGGCATGTTTAAGATACCTTAGCACCCTAAATGCAGCTTGTAGATGCTCAGAATAAGGGTCCTTCTGGAACTGACAGAGCTGTTGAACAGCATAAGTAAGATCTGGTCTCGTTATGGTTAAATAATGGAGTCTACCTATGAGTCTTTTGTAGACTTCTGGATTAGGTAGAGGTTCTCCTTGTTTGGCAGAGAGCTTCACTTTATAATCCACAGGTGACACACAATCTTTGGCCTCCATATAACCAACATCATCCAGGAGATCAACACAATATTTCCTTTGGTTTACAAAGATACCTCTGTGATCTCTGTAGACCTCTAATCCCAGGAAAAACTTCAGCTCCCCCAAATCCTTTACCTTAAACTCTCTTCCCAGATAAATCTTAACCTGCTCAACATCTCCTAATGAACTTCCAGCTATAAGGATGTCATCAACATAGACAAGTACCACTAGCATTCTGCCTTGAACCCTTTTGGTAAACATAGAGTAATCAGAAGCAGCCTGTGAGAAGCCATTCTTCAATAAGGAAGCAGTCAGTTTGGCAAACCATTGTCTACTGGCCTGCTTCAAACCATACAAAGATTTTTTTAATTTGCAAACCATCCTCTTATCTGGTACTGGTATTCCAGGGGGTACCTTCATGTACACATCTTCATTCAAATCACCATGTAGAAAGGCATTGGACACATCCATCTGGTGGATATGCCAATCCTTAGAAGCAACAACTGCTAACAGTGCTTTCACTGAATTAATCTTAGCCACAGGAGAAAACGTGTCTAAGAAGTCAATACCATATATTTGAGTGAATCCCTTTGCAACCACTCTTGCTTTATGTCTTTCAATAGTGCCATCTGACCTGTGTTTAATCTTATATACCCACTTAGAACCTATTGGTCTAACTCCAGGAGGTGGTATCACCAAATCCCAGGTCTGATTAGCCTCCAATGCATCAGACTCAGCAGTCATGGCATTCCTCCAACACAACTCTTTAGATGCTTCCTCATAGCTGGTAGGTTCAACTGAATTCATCACATTCAATACATATGTCCTGTGAGACTGTGGTAAATGATCAAAAGACAAGACATGTTGTATAGAATGCTTGCTGACAGTACCAGTGAACACAAAATCTTTGTGCCAAAATGGAACCTGCTTTAATCTATCAGATTTCCTTATCACAGGTTCAACCCCTTCCTCTATTTCTTCTTGAACACAAAGCTCAGTATCCTCCTCCCCATCAGAATGCACACCAAACATCTCATGTGGTTCAGCCCCTAGATTAGAAGTAGGAGATTGAGTGGTAGAAGGTGTTGAAGGTGAAGGGCTAGGATGAGAAGTATAAGGTGTTGAAGGACTAGGAAGAGAAGTGGAAGCAGAGGGTGCATTCTGAGAAGGATAAGAAGGAACAGAGGAATCAGGTGGAAGTGGGGTGGTAATAGGAAAGATAGGATCAGAAACTGGTGCAATGGATGAAGATGATTGGGCTGAGGGTCTGTAAGGGAGAATGTGTTCATAGAAGACCACATTTCGTGAGAGAAAGAATTGATGGGAGTTTAAGTCAAATAACTTATACCCTTTGACACCAGGAGGATAACCAAGAAATAAACATTGCCTGGCACGAGGATCAAACTTGGTTCTGTCTCGAAGGAGAGTAGAGGCATAACACAAATAGCCAAATACTCTAAGGTGACTGAGAGAAGGTGGTTTCTTGTAGAGTAATTGGAAAGGAGAAAGATTGTTGGTTATTGGAGAAGGAATACGGTTGATTAGATACACTGCATGAGAAATGCAGTCACTCCAGAAAGAAAGAGGTAAGTTGGATTGAAATCTAAGGGCTCGTGCCACATTGAGAATGTGTTGGTGCTTCCTTTCTACCCTTGCATTCTGCTCAGGTGTCTCCACGCATGAAGTTTGGTGTTCAATTCCATTGGAAGCATAAAATTCAGACATATGGAATTCGTTTCCTTGGTCACTTCTGATAGCTTTTACTGCAGTGTTAAACTGTCTATGGATCATAACACAAAACTGCTGGAGAAACTCACTGGCTTCAGATTTAGATTTCATCAAATACGCCCATACACTTCTAGTATTATCATCCACCAAGGTAAGAAAATAGGAAAAACCATCGTGGGACTTCACAGCAAGAGGACCCCAAATGTCTACATGGATTAAGTCAAAGGGAGAATTTGCTTTGCTATCACTAAGAGGAAAGGGAAGCCTTTTCTGTTTGGCCAAATGACAAGTAGAACAATGTTTGACAATCTCCCTATTACAACCAAGAATCTGTTGTTCCCTAGCTTGACTTGGGTGGCCTAATCTCCAATGCCAGAGCTGAATGGATTGAGGCTGAAAGTTGTAAGTAGCAGCTACTTGAGGTATACTTGGTGTAGGAAGGAGGTGATAGAGACCCTTAATTTGTCTTGCCAAACCAATCTGGTTCTTGGTTAAGAGGTCCTGAATATGACAAGAGTCAGATTCAAAGTGCAAAGAAATGGGAAGTTGATGTGTAAGCTGACTGATAGAGACAAGGTTAAAGGTGAAAGAAGGAACTAGCAGAACACCATCTAGTGTTAAGCCTGGAAACAGTGTTACTGAACCAATATGGCTGACTGGGACTTTAGAACCATTTGGAAGATAAACAAATTGGCCTGATACTGGAATGACCTTAGTATAACTAGACAATGTGCATGCTATGTGATTAGATGCTCCCGTATCAAGAATCCAGTTCTGTGCTAAAGCTAATAAACCTTGCTGCAAGTGAGAGGTAAGCACATATTTACCAGAAAAATTTGGTTGAGGAGGCAGGTGATGTGAGACAGAGAAAGCAACATGCTTGATAGATGGTGAGGCAGGTGGAGATGGACTCATGCTGTCAGAATGATTCAGGAGAAACTTCAGCTTGGCAAGTTCATCATCAGTGAAGCTGATTGTAGAGGACTGTGACTTGTCAAGTGTGGAGCCACTAACAGATGATCCAGAATCACTGCTTTGTGAAGGAGACTGGGACACAGAACCAGCAAAAGGTGCATTTGTATTTCCTTCATTCATTCTTGCCTTCTTGTTCTTAAGCCTGTAACATTCTTCCTTAACATGTCCATCTTTCTTGCAGTACCTACAGAACTTCTTATCTGCATCTTGCACATTTTTGGTATCTCTGCCATAATTACTACCATCAAACCCTTTTGTTTTGTCTCCTGGAACTGCAAGTGCTACAGACTGTACCCCTCTTGCACTACCTCCCTTTTCACCTTTCAATTTCTGTTCATGTTGTAGTACATCGTCCAGTGCAGCATCAATTGAGGGAAGAGGTTTCATCATGAGCAACTGACTATGAACAAGGTCATATTCTGGACGTAGACCACGCAGAAACTTAATAAGAAACTCAGTGTTGAGCCTTTCCTTAAAAGATTCTACAGCTGACAGGGTCGTGTTCTCTGGACAACACAGTCACAATCAATTAATGGAGCATACTGCTGATACTCCTCCCAATAACCCTTTAGTGCAGTGTAGTATTGAGTTACATTCATAGACCCTTGTTTGCATTTGTTCATATCTTCCTGCAGATTAGCCAACTTAGGAGCATTTGATTTCCCAAATCTCCTTTTTAGTTCATCCCATACATCCTTAGCTATATCATGCTGTAGAACAGATCTATTAATATCCTTATGAACAGAATTTAGAAGCCAGCACAGAACCATGGTATTTGATGCATCCCACATGAGAAAATTAGCATGATCTCTTGCAGGCATAGGTAGAGAGCCATCAATAAAACCCAGCTTATGCTTGGTCTTCAGAGCCATACAAACTGCTCGCTGCCATACTTGATAATTGGTTCCATCTAGAACCTCAGAAACAATCGATTGTCCTAGATTTTCACTAGGATTGATATAATAGGGACTACCAAACATCAAACCCACATTCATATTACCAGGTTGTTGTTGGTTCTCATGTTGCTGATTGAATCCTTGCTCTCCAGTAGCTCCAGATCCACCAGTTCCACCAGATCCTCCTGAGTTGAAGGTTCCAAAACGTGGTTGTGGAGTAGCAGACATTTTGACGCGGAAGACGGATTAGAACCGCTCTGATACCATAAGAAGTTTAGAGACTGCTAGGGTTAGCAGCAGAGAAAGAAGAGAAGAGAAAGCTCTCTCTAGGAGGCGATGAATGGAGCTAGAATCGCAGGGAAAAATGATCCACCCTGCTGCTTTTTATATTCAGTAAACAACTACAGTAAAAACGTTTAAAACTGTAATTCAAAATAAGACAAACAACAGCCTACACGTGGCTTTGTTCCATAAGCAGTAAATAGAAGCCAAACGGCTAATAAATCAAACGACAACGTATTGCTCTTCTTCTTCTTCCTTTGTTCTTCATTCGACTCTGCATATCAGATCAGCTTTCAAGACACCTTCTCTTCTTCTGCATTCTGGGAATTGGACAAGCTCTTTGACAGAGACAACACGGACTTCATCCTCAGCTCCCACGCCTTTGAAACCATGGCTCTACCGAACAAGGCTTCCCAGTTGCTACCAAAAGGCGTCGTCGACGTCAAATACGAGCGAATTCCGTGCAAGTATCCGGGCCACGATACTCTCACGGTGAAGGTGACGGAGCAGAGCAGGTTTGCGGAATACTTGTCCGTTGTTGTTTTGTACCAAGGTGGCCAATACGACGTTTTAGGCATCCAAATCTACGACGGAAGTGTGAAGCAATGGAAGGACATGAGGAATGCATACGGCGCAGTTTACGATCTGCCTAACCCACCAAAGGGAACGATTTCATTGAGGCTGAAACTCAAGAATATTGCCTCCGGAGGAGCAGTGAAAATCGTCAAGCTGGATAACGTTATCCCACGTTACTGGAAGGCTGGGGTTGCTTATGACTCCAAGATTAAGCTTGCGTAAGTTAGATAATTAACTTGGCACACAAGTGGGTTCTCTCGTTTATCTATTTTAATTTAATTGTGTGTTGTGTCGTGTAATAAAAAAAAAGTGAGTACACTTTGAAAACAAACCTTTGTGATAATGATGCAAATAAGAAGCATCTTTGTTTGTAATATTCCTCCCCCCTACAAATAAAACCATATCTGTGACATGTGAAGTGAATAAATAGCTGACTATGTGTATTTTCTTTCTCCCATGTTTTTTCATTCAAATTCTATGTCGTGCTTTTTATTTATTTTATATCTCGTCTTACTAAGAGCACGAGGGAGCTCAAACGGAGCTTCTCCGAGATGTGTAAGTGGGCAGAATTCCAAAGCCAAATCAGGCCGAAGGAGACAAGGGAAAAACGAAATTACGGGGGAAACAAGCTTAGTAACAAACGTTGGATTATTTCGAATTCTATGTACGAGTGCAAATTTATTTAATTTTTTCAAGCATCATTAATACTAACAACCATTCACGCAACTTCTAATTGTGAGGTGGAAAATAATTATTTAGCCGAAACCCTCGTCTAACCAAGTGCAGAACTTTTGAGTAATAAAAGTTTGCGATTTTCCAAGAATCGAGCTGGTGGTTGTTTGGTTAAGATAGTTACAATGTATGTATTGTGCATAATGCATTGTTTTTTTGAATTTTCTGGACAAATGATATATGTATTGTTTGCTTGATTTTAACAAACTATCACTCAATATGGGTGATAGTTAAATCTCAAGTTTTTTGTGAGAATGTTGTATTTTTTTTTTCCTCTTCCAATTATGTCCCTACCTTTTTATGTGTGTTGCTTTTTTATCAATGTTGTCATAACCGAACCGGAGCATGACCCGGTAATGCGAACGGCTCGCACATTTGTGGTCCAACCGGCATTAGACCGTTTAAAAACCGTTAGAGAACCGGTACCTAACAAACGTTATCAGTATAAATAGTGAACATTTCTTAATCAGAGCTCGTCTTTTTTCTTCGAAATTGTGAAATGTAAATAAAGATTCAGTTTGAGAGCCCTAATTTTTTGGTTTATTTCAATTTTCAATTTTCTGTAATTTTTTTAATTAAATTTAACGACTGAATGACAAAAACCGGACGAGCGGCTCGATCGGATCGAGCGGTAAACCGCCTCGACCGCTACATAAAACCGAAGCGGCTTTTAGACTGTTCCGAGCCGGTTTTGTGACTGGGTGGCGGTTTTGCCGGTCGGCTAGGCTCGGCTTTAATAACACTATTTTTTATATTAAAAAACAAAGGGTAAAATTGACATTTCACCCAAAAAGTGATATAACTTATTTAAATAACACAATAACTATCACAAAAACTAAACGATGTAAACTACATTACACCAATTTTCGTATATATGTATATTGTTATTCATGCATTGATGACAATGCATCTATTTAACTATCACCAAAATCAAACCAACCCTAACTTCACAAAATAGGGGAAGAGCCGAAGAGGCTTCTTAATCTTGTCCTGCACAATGCAGTCAAAATCAAGATTTTGCTCGTAAAATTGTAGGATTTTACTTAGGGATTCCGATTCTGATTTTACAATAAAATCGGTGGATCTTAAAATCGTTCAAAATCGGGATTAAAATCGTTAAAATCATAAATCGTACCAAAATCGGGATTCTGATCCTATGTGAACAAAATAGGGAGCTTGAGCCAATTCAAAAGAAGCGGAACTGTTTCGGTGGAAAGGGCAATGACGAGATCTTCTCATATATTTTTCCTATTAAAAGAACATTTGAAAAAAAAACTAATTAGGGTTCGGTCAACCCCTTTCCCTTCTCCTTGTTTAACGCATCGGTAAAACAATTGTCAGAATATTGTAAGTACGTAAGAATTAACATCATTATTAACAAATTATTTGATTAATGAATATATTTGTACCAAACCAATGACATTAATTATTTTATTGGAGTTCACCTATTCTTAGTTTTAAATCATGTTTAATTAGTAGACGATGTCAGAATACTACTTTGAGTTAAACTATACCTAGACACAACATGAAAAACTTTTCCAAACCCCATGAGCTCTATCCCTTCCTCATAAATTATTTTGAGTTACGCATTAAATAACAATTAAAATGATGATTTTGAAGCATTAATCTTGAAAATTATCACTTTAAATGTTTTATTTACCTTATTAATATTATTATATGTTAATTTCTATTTGGTAATAAAAATTCTGTAATTCTACAATTTCAATTTTACCCTAATTTTTTATTTTAGATAAAATCCCGATTTGACTGCTTTGAGCTCTGCACATCTCAGTAGCTATTGAACCGTGAAGTGGCCTGTATCAGGCCAATCCTTAGTTAATCAAGACATTCCTCATTACATTTAGTCATGTCGGTGTAATTGGAAGCCTTCAGTTGTCACTATCTTGCCTGCAAATAGGGCTGTGAATTCGGTCACGCATTTTTTTGGTAAACCGGATCATTTAAATCGGTCTGCAAGTAGGGAACTCATGTGATTTTTTTTCAGTTGTTTTTCAATATAGCTAAAAAACAGTCACTTTGGAGAATGGGAAGATTTTCGATTTTTTGGTTAAAACCGGACCAACATGTATTCAATCCAATCCAGTTATGGTTCAAAATCGTATTCAATTCAATTCAATTTATGATTGTAGAATTGACACAAATCTCATCCAAAAAATCGGATAAATCCAGTGCGGTTAAATCAGATTGTACCGTTTTCCACCCCTACTGGCAAAGACTACGTCCTTTGCGGTCCTCCACAAGAAGCAATAGCTAGCTCCAAACTCCTAAATAGTGTGCTGTTTGAAAACAACTAACTTGTGCATGGTTCTTTCCAGAACAAACGTAACAATAACAATGCGCATGGTAATCGTAAGGGAAGCCGTGGAAAACAACCAACTTGTGCATGCATGGAACTTTTCCAAAACAACGTACGTGCATGGTGGAAACTAGCTAGGTCGCGTAAAGAAAAAACAAATTAAAAACACATAAAAGGACCACACAGACGGATGCATACACAACCCACGGATTTTGAACCTTAATTATTTCAAACCCAATGGACAATATATTTTTTTAGTCGAAACCAAATGGTCAAAATTAACTTTGAAGAGAGAACTAGAAATAAAATAAACAACTGTACCATTATCCAAAGACATGAACACAAAAAGTCAAGTGCTTTAAGTTAGATAAACAGGGGAAAAAAAAATTCAAAACCAATGGGTTACGTTCCAAAGGTACTCACTTAATTACCCATATAATCATCGAATAATACTAACAATTAGCCAATAATAATCAACCAATTCCCATCTATAAATACCATAACCCTTCATCCATTCTCCATATCCCCCACTCTCATTACTCATCCATCACATTTCATACCAATCTCCCAACTATAACAATATATTCATTCAAAATGAAGGGTTTATTTTTTGGCGTAGTTGTTTGCCTGTTGGTGCTTCTGCCTGCTGCAATATTTGGTCACGATCCTGTGCCTGTCCCCTCTTCCCCTAAGAAAGGCAGAGTCACTTACTATCGCCAGCCCAATGGCTTAGGAATTCCGAGCAGAGCTTGTGGCTATGCCGACACTGGCATAACTTACAACTACGGCAACGTCGCAGCCGCCTCCAGCAAGCTCTGGAGAAATGGAGCTGCTTGTGGTGCCTGCTATAAGGTCATATTAGTTAATTACATGCAGCAACTTCCGCCTTTTTTTCCCCCCTAGTTTCATTGTATTATTATACAGATATGCCCGAGTATATATGTACGTACGTAGTCGATTTTTATTGAAGATGTTCACTCTGACAAATCCTCGACATGATGAACAGGTGACTTGCGGGATAAAAGGCGTCTGCAACAGCCAAGGAGTGAAAATAGTGGTGACGGACCGTGGAGATCGAGATAACGCGGACTTCATGCTCAGCTCCCACGCCTTCGAAGCCATGGCTCTACCGAACAAGGCTTCCCAGTTGCTGCCCAAAGTTGTCGTCGACGTCAAATACGAGCGAATTCCGTGCAAGTATCCAGGCCACGATGCTCTCATGGTGAAGGTAACGGAGCAGAGCAAGTTTGCGGAATATTTGTCAATTGTTTTACTGTACCAAGGTGGCCAATACGACGTTTTAGGCATCCAAATCTACGACGGAAGTGTGAAGCAATGGAAGGACATGAGGAATGCATACGGCGCCGTTTACGATCTGCCTGATCCTAATCCGCCAAAGGGTCCGATTTCGCTCAAGCTGAAACTCAAGAATACTGCATCAGGAGGAGCAGTGAAACTCGTGAAGCTGGAGAACGTTATTCCTCGTTTCTGGAAGGCTGGAGTTGCTTATGACTCCAAAGTTAAGGTTGCTTAAGTTATATATAATTTAACTTGGCACAAGTGGTTTCTCTTGTTGATCTATTTTAATTTAATTGTGTTTCGTGCAATAAAAAAAGGTGGGTACACTCTGAAGCCCCTTGTAATAATGTTACAAATAATAAGCATCGATCCTGCTTAAATTTCTCTTCATTACTTCTCTTTATTTCACTACAAGTAAAAATGACATATAGGGCCCTTTAGGCTCATGAACTATGTTTCTTCAAACAACTTCTTATGTTATGAAATCTATGTTTTAATCCCTGAGGCATGCCATTTTTTTTTGTAGAACTATGTCATTTTTCTAAACCACTCATTCGGTCATTTTCCCCAACAAGTTTATGGGTAGTTTGGATGATAAATTGTAACAAATAAATTATGCGATTTAATTGTCTCGTTTAAGATAATTGGACCAAGTTGACTTATCACGTATTTGTCAGTAAAAAAAAATTGGATGGATCAATTTATTCTAGACAAATTTCAAGAATTTGATCCATTTTGAGATTTCAGTTACCCATAATAGGGTAAGATAATTCAAATTTACTCATGTTAAATGACTAATTTGATAATATGAGACATTAGCCAAATGTCTCGTTTATGAAATGGTCCCCATGCTGACTTGCTTTTTTATCTGTTTGACACGACTCATATTATATTCAATTCATTACATCTATCTATCTATACTAAATATTATGGCTATTCAAAATTAACTTCTTGCCACATAAGCACTTGGTGAATGCACAAGTTGCCAAGGTGGACAATTTTTTTTCAAACAAAAAACTATTTATTGATCTATTTATGAAGTTGTCTCTCTCTTCTTTTAATAATTCTACTCATTTTTACTAAAATTAAAATA